CACTTATTTCTAAATGGAATTTGGAAATGGTTTTTAAAGGAATTTTGAATTCTAGCGCACTCGAGGGTAAACAATTAATAAATCATGTGGAGGTAAGGATGGTTTCACCTCAATATTGTTTTGCGACATGGTTCTGGAATAGAAACACTCTAGTGGTTGTAAAAAGGTAATCATTCTTACATTCTATCATACTGTTTTCTTGTGGAGCGTAAACACAAGATGATTTATGAATAATCCCTTCTTGATAGAAAAATGAAGAGATTGTGTGGTTAAAAAAATTTTTCGGGCGTAATCAATGTGAAATCATTTTATGTGGATTCCAAATTGGGTTTTTATCATCTTGCAAAACTAGGTATTATGTGGTTAACATCTTATTTGGATTTGAGTAAGAAAAATCATATAACCCTAGTATAATCATTAATAAATGATACAAGTCATCGACTTCTAAAACTATTAGGAATGTGGGATGACTCCCAAGCATCACTATGGATTACAGAAAATAGAAGTATACTTCTTTAATTGTACATGCTTATGTTTGGCTAAAATGCATATGTCGCAATCTAAATTCTCATAAATAACAAATGAAACATAACCTTTAAAATGGAAATGATGGATGGCCAAGCTTCTTGTGGTAAAGTCAAAACTTGTGGTTAGGGTTGGTAGAAATAGCGGAGAGAGGTCCACTAGGTGTATCAAGTAGTACAATTCGTTTCTAAGCTCAACAAATCCAATTATCTTTCCTGGATTCTGATATTGATAACATGTAATTATCTCATTTAGTGATAACATTTCGCATTTACCAAAGATTTGAACCCTTGATCAAAATTCTGGCCGAGTCCTATCAGGAACTGATAGATCCAATCTTTATTTAGAAAATGTTTGAAGAGGACTACATCCTTGTTGTTGTCCATTATAAGGCTCCAGTACTGATTTAATTCTTGCCACCAACCTTTTAACATGTTCGGATATTCTGTAACTGACATGTTTTCTTATTTTATGGACTATGTCTTGACTTTCTAGTCATAAATCTACGCTGAATTTTAACTTTAAAATCGACTCTCCTGGTTGCATCCCACACACTTTTTGCTATTGAAAGAACATAACTATTTTACTTATTTCTGGCAACACAGAGTTCCAAAACCACGTCATGATCATTAAGTCTTTCTCATCCCATACATCAAAGGCGGGATCACCTAGTTTTGATCCAGTGCGTAAGAGGTGGCTGAGCTTTCGTTACCTCTTGAAAGTGATCCAAATTAATTACAACCAAATCAACTAGTTATTCCTGGTAAAGCAGTAAGCAACTTGGATTGACTAAAGTTTGGTATTGTTTTGGGTAGGGTTTCCTATGTTGAAATTTCTTCATGTACTTTGAGATGTAACTTCTGACATATTTTTAAGAGTTGTAGAGAAATTATGACCAAATAAAAGGTCATGGGAACTATGTTACCAATAAATAATGTGGCTATGTGCCTGGACATAACCACCATTTGCAGCGGCTGAGCAGGACAGAACCTGGAGAGAAACGCACGCAGTAGGATGGGTCACAGTTCAGTCTGCACACAACTTGCAGTGTGCGGCCTAGGGGGCTGGCACATGGTAGAAGCAGCTGGACATGAATTTTGACGAGGCTGTCCGGACAGGGTTGTGCAGGTGCAGGCGTAGGCATGCGGTTCTGGCAGCAGGCGACTGGGTGATTCCTTCTGGCTGCTTATGGCCATGAGGTTCTGGTGGCAAGAGCCGGTATTGAAGGCCAGCTTGTGGTGGAGATGGGTTGGAGGCGAACACACAGCAGGGGATAGGTGTGGCTGGACTGTACGACCGCAAATGTGACTGGATTGCGCGTCTTGCGGCTGGTTGCAGGAGTCGTGGCTTGCCGCTTAGTTTTTTCTGGCTGTCGCCGGCGATGAAGGCCAGCTAGACTGCTGACGGGCGGCTGCTGTGGTAGTTGGCGGCTGGACTTAGCTGGCCTCCCCTCTTTAGGGTTTTTCTTATTTTGACAATAAAAACCAAATAAGATTTGGAAAAAATTATATGGTTTTTCTTTAACTAAACTTCTGATATATGTAAAAAATTGGTTGAATGTATATTTTATTGAATATTACAATTCTATATATACAAATTTTTTAAAATAGAGAATGAAATAGACCTTTGATTACATTAAATTACATAAGGTGTATTTTACTCTAATATCTTCTAACCTAATTACATACTCTCTTTTAACACTAAACATCGTGGTTGTGTTTATATCTATAACTACATACTAGAGATTAAGTGATCTTTACCTTCTGCAGGTGACTTACAGAGCACTGTACTTGCAATGAGACAGTGTGCATATGAAGCTAGTATTGCGCTGTCTGCTTTTAGTCGTGTATCGAGAGGCCATACTGCTTTGACTTCTGAATCTGGTTCCATGCTTGAAGAGGTATGATTTGCACAATGGCAGAATCAAGCCTTTCTCTCCTTTTTTTTTTTACCTGTTTTTTAATGAAATATACAAGGTTCTAGCTGAGAGTCTGAAGACCTATTATTTTGGTACCGATGCCTGTTAACAAAAAATGATCTTCATTTTAACTCCATGGCATCCCAAAAGAAGCAATATGCTTTCCTTTTTACCTTTTTTTTTTTTTTTGAATGGCACCTGTGGGCGTGAGTTATGTGCCCAGTGTTGTGCCATGTGACAAAGATGACTGAAGGAAGAAGAAGAATTAAGCTAAGCTGCTAACTGCTTGGTGTTTAATATGTTATTTTTTGTTTTCTCATTTTATGCTATATATTTTGTTATTTCTTTTAGCTGGGCAGTTTCTTGCATTTGAATTTGTCTTGGTTGTGTTAATGGATAGGCTATTCCTGGTTTAAGGGAACAATTACTATCCTAGTCTGATGTGTAAAACTAAGTTTGCAAGAAATGAAGAGGTTATGCTGACAATAGTTCTGATATGTTTTTTTTTATTCTTTCAAATTCTTGGAAGTCATTGATATTCTTTTAACAAGCCCATGCTGGTTGATCCCATAACAAGATCTTAAAGTAGGGACCATAACTTTGGTATAAGAGCCTACTGTCATGGAGCTCTTCTACCAAAAATTCTTTTTTATTGGGTTGTGGATTGTTGCCAGTGGATGCACTCATGGGAAGGACTCAGCCTTTTGTATTGCTGCATCTTGCTTTTGCACTTGTAGACAAGCTCACTTTTAAGAGGGGAAGTGACAATATGAACCAAGAATAGTCAAACTAATGATAATTTTCAGAAGCCTTATGTATTTCTCTTTGGAGGCTGTTTTTTTTTTTTGGGGAAGTAACAAGTCTAAGGTATATTATTACTAAGGGAGTGCTGTCCATGTACAAAAAATTTACAGTTCAGTCAGTATGTCAATAAAATTCCCAAAATCTTTGGGAGCTGGGTTATGAGAGGTTTACACATGGAAACAAGAGAAAGAAACACTAATAAAGTTCCTCTGCGTAGACAGTTTACTTTCAATTTTTTCCCTTCTGTTGCAATTTCTTTCTTATTTAGGAGATACTTGTGGTCTAATCGTGTTCCAAGAAGCATATAATAAGCAATTTTGGCAAGAGAAAAATAAGTAAATTTGCCTGAAAAAAAAATGCGCAACTTTCTTTCCCAAACTCGGAGATTCAAGGATTCTAGTTTTATGAGCCCTTAGGAAGTGGAAAATTTTCCCGCGACTATTTTTTAAGTACTGACAGGTGTACTAGTAGTTGTGTGGTTAGAAAGGGTATTCTTCAGGGGTACAACAACTTATGGACCTGTATATGTCTGTCCTTTGAGTATTCTTCAATCTCTAGCAGATGGCACAAAACTACTTCTTCAAGCTCTAGCGGATGGCACAAAATTACTTTTCAAAAAGAATCTCCTTCCATCTAGAAGAAATAATTGTTTGTTCAGTATTGGACTGTCTATAGAAACTATATTAATTTCGCTAAGTTATTCAGTAATCCAATCCTATTTTAGAGGCCACAATGCACGACTGAGGGATTTGTTGTTTAGTAAGGAAGATAAAAGGATTTCCAGGGTATATTTCTTTCTGGCATGTTTTCTTTACTTTCATTAAATTAATGGTTGGCAGTAGGATTAAGTGTTGAATTATCCTTTTATCATTTTGTTTTAACATTTCCATGCTTGAGGTTTTTGCCATCTGCTCTGTTTTAGGCTCTTTGTTATGTTCATCTACAGCTTACTGATTAATTTGTGAATTCTGCTCCACATAGTTGATATTTCATCATTTCACCAAGCGTGGATGGTCAAATGTACCAACTCCTTTGTGTTTCCATTGAGAAATGCAAGCTTGACCACAGCTCTGGTTTATTTGGTCTATCCAAATCATTCATGTGGATCTGGTTCCTTCCTAATCAATGAGGAATCAGAAATCAATTTTGTGAACTTAGGCTTTCTAATTGACACAATCTTAAACATGTTGGGATTGTGAAAACACGAGAGTCTACAAATGTGTTATTTTCAGTTCTCCTAAGAATAAAAAAAGAACTCTAATTCTTGTTCTTACCTTCGCATATGAAGGTTTCTGCCAGTAAATAATGAGAATGATGGAATATTTAAATGGTGCTGATATCAATCGGAGAACACAAAAAGAAATCTTTTGAGTAATAAGGGCAAGGAACATCAGCAACGTTCCCCTACCCCCCCAAAAAAAATAATAATAATAATTACTTCTAGTCTAACATAAAGAATCATAATTTTGACTTCACCAAAAATAATTTACTACATTCTTTGCCAATTTTTTAGCATTTGAATGTGGCTGATATTGTTTTACTTCCTTTAGGTTCTTGCAATAACTGAAGATCTGCCTGATGTTCACAGTCTGGGGAAGGAAGCTTCTGCTACACATAATTCTCTTATGGAAGAGCTGTCAAAGGTCTTGCCTGTCTGCAATTTTGTTTCTGTGTTTTTCTTGACTGCATGTGTTAATAAAGCGGTGTTCAGGGGATGTGTTGAGTCCATGCATTAGTATTCATTTTTCAAAATTTTTAGAGTTCAGGTTTGCTTTAGAATCACCTATTTATTATTGACTTTGTAATTCATGAGCAGGCAAATGCAATACTTCTTCCACTTGAGTCAGTATTGTCCAAGGATGTTGCTGCTATGACTGAAGCTATGGATAGAGAAAGGGAGACTAGAATGGAAGTATCTCCCATCCACGGGCAAGCCATATACCAGTCATATTCTTCAAGAGTTAGAGAGGCTTGTCAGAAATTTAAGCCTTTGGTACCACCACTTTGCTTTGCCATCAAGGACTTGCATTCAATGTTGGCCAGGCTTGCCCGAACTGCAAGTCTCCATGCTGGAAATCTTCATAAAGTAAAATCCCATTTTGAGATTAACCATTAGTTACTATATTTGCACTGCCCTCTGAGCATAGAAACACCTGAGTTCATTCTCTTTCTCTTTCTCTCTCTCTAGGCTTTTGAAGGACTAGGTGAAAGCCAGGAAGTAAAATCACAAGGAATTGGTATATCCAGGTCAGATCTTGTTGGTGATGATTCTGAATTTGATGAAAAAAGGGAAGAAAGCCTCTCGAGTGGCAGTCAGGGAACCCAAGATCTACTAAGTGTTGCTGCTGGATTATCACTGGGGGATAAAGGATGGATATCTCCACCTGATAGCATCTACAGTAGCAGTTCAGGATCTGGCACTAGTTCAACTGAGGCAAGTCTTGTAGATAGTTTCAACGATCCAGCAGAGATGGGAGAAGAGCTTTGGTCTGATCAAAAGGACGGCACAGCATATAAAACTTCTGTTCCATCCTCTCAAGTTGGGACCCAGAAAATCCCACTCTCTGAGCACTTGGTCTCCATGCAAATGGCCATGAATAATAATGATACCAGTTCTATCAAATCTGCAAGCGAATCAAAAGAATATCTGAAAGATGGGGGACAATCACGGGATGAAGCTGCAAGTGTCCCTAGTGAGTCTTTACAACGTTTGAATGAGAGCTTGGAGGTGAAGTTTAAGGGTGAAGATGAAGTCTCTTCATTTAACAAGCGTAACATTGAGGTTGAAAGTGAGGCTTCTCGTCCTAATACACAAATGAGTAGTCGAATTGCCAGAGGTAAGTGTAGAAATGTTTGTATTTCTTCACTTTTGGTTGTATTTTGCCCTGTGATTATTTTCTGCCAGTTTTAACGTTCTGACCCTATTTGATTGTACGATTTCTGGGCATTTTTTCTCTTTTCACTTTTTATTAGCCTGATAATGTATTGGAAGATAAAAATTTTATTTGTGTGTAGGTAAAAATGCTTATGCAATGTCAGTTCTAAGGCGTGTTGAGATGAAATTAGATGGTCATGATATTGCTGACAACAGGTATCTACTTTCCTTGAGAATCTGAAAGCTCAAGTAAATTTTGTACTAACTACTCCCTGCCATTTCAGGGAAATTAGTATAACAGAGCAAGTGGATTATCTACTTAAGCAAGCCACAAGTGTAGATAATCTTTGCAACATGTATGAAGGTTGGACACCTTGGATTTGAATCATGGAGGATTGAGCGTTGAGCAAGCTGCCAGTATTTCAGTTACTTCCTATGTTGACTCACTTTTACCTGGAGCATTTTAATGGGAAGTATGCCACTGGAACTTTTGCATCGTAACTAAAGCTTAGCTTTTGGTTTCAGATTTCCTGGTTGTCCAATGCAAAATGAGGCATGTTTACCTTTACTAGGGACCAGGAAAGAGCCATTTAAATTGACGACCAGATCATGCTCGCTTTTGCCTCTTTTCAAGAAACCGGTGGGTTTTTGAGGTGCATGCCATTGTCCAATACCACTCATGATAAATTTCTGCATGCAATCCCTTGTGTGATTCAAGGATGGATAACAATAAGCCAGATTAAAGCTGGTTTACATTGGCAATCGTCATGAGGCTTCCGCGGTTGCCTTCAAACTTCGAAGTTTTGCAAAGTACTTCCAATCTGGATGCCACCCATTTGGAAATGATATAAGAAAGTTTTAGCATCATCAGTTCATAATCAGTGGAACCCATTTCTTGTGATTTCTGGATTCCTAGTATGGCATTTTAGCATGGAAAATGAGATCATAAACTGCTGCGGATCAAATTCCAAATTCAGTCTGCAGTTCTAGGAGCTGACGTGCATTGGGAGATGAGGCTGAGAATGGTGTGTTATTCCAGGTCCTTAAAGCAGAGGTATTTGAAATATATAGTCTTTCAATGCTTTGCTGTCATCTCATAGTTACTCTAGTGCTTAGCATTAATAGCATAATAGGGGAAAATATGTTATATATTTGTGGTCCAAAGAAGATTAAGACCGCTAGTAGCTAGTGGTTTTGAGTGATTGACCGGATTTGCTGTAACTCTGTGGTGTAAATTGGTGTTGGCAATGGCTATTACTGTGTCGGAAACATGTTAAATTACTGTTTCTTACTAGGACGACCAGATTTGTTTGGGTTAGATTAAATTTGGTTATAGTCTGACTGTGAGAATGCAAGGGTGACCTAAATTGGTCGTCCTAGTAAGAAATATAAGGTCAAGACCGAAACACACGTCAGTTTGTTGGTGAGTCCACGGTGTTCTACAGTACTCAGATGCTATGTTTACAAGAACTGTTTTCTTCTTTTAGATACTGTCAAAACTAAGGATATCAATCACCTTGCAGACTGCGTGGGATCTATCTTATAATTTGTAGCTTCTCAAATTGTGAGTTGTTGTATATTTGCGCTATTTTTTTTTTTCTAATAACTCGTAGTAATCAGTAACTTTATGTAACGTTATGTTATTGTACAACATCAACCAACTTGCAAAAGAATTTACAGAATAACTATAAAATTGTATGAGGATCATCTCGAGGCATAGTGATATTCTTACATCATAATATTTGTCTTTACTTAATACTTTTTCCTCTTGAATTTAGGTCGATGGGCAGAGCACTGTGGTTTTCTTTGCTGGGAATGAAGCTGGGGGGCTCAGTGACTTGGAAGTTTCTTCAAGAAGAGGTTGGTCAACTTGGAGATTGTTCCTTTTTTATGGCTGTGAACTCCATTGAGGAAAGGTACCACTGAAGCCACTTTGATAGGAAGATAGGAATTTTAACCATTGCACATTTAAATGGTAAGGACGGTACGAATTATTAAATGAATGTTATGACGATAAAATTCCACCAAGTAAATATGTTGTTAAGAGTTCGAAATATTTAGAGGATGAGAGATTAGATATACAAAATAAATTCCAAGTAAAATGACTCGAACAAACACTTTGCGTTGTTAGCGTAAATTTTAGCTTATAATATTTAATTATACGAGCCACTGTTTTCACTGGTTGATTGTAACTTTTGAAAACTATTATTATTTTAAATATCAATATCTTACAATTAAAAATTTTATATGCAAAATTAATGTTGTATACTTGAATTCTTAAGGTGAGAAGAGCAGTCTGGAAGAGGGCTAAAATATTCCTGCCTATACATAGTTTGGATAACGTCAAAACGTTACCCACCAAAAAGAACCGTATCTGGTACTGACAAAAGTCCGAAAACTTACTTCCTGTGGTTTTGAAGCTTCTGGTTTATACTAAAACAGTGCGATATGTATAAAATGTGTGTGTGTGTGTGTGGGTGGGTGGGTGTAAGCACACAGACTCACATTTCCAGCTTAAAAAGAATACGTGCGCCGTAGATAACTGCGAAGAAAAAGACAGAACCACTCGTGAATCAAAAGCTAGTATTTATTTATTAACATCAACCCGTCGTATCTATAAAAACCCCGAAACACCAGAATATCAACCCGTCAAGCTTATCTTTCAAATATCTTCGTAAATCACTTTCAAAAGAAATATCCTTCTTTTGTTGTCGGAGAAGATTTTGATCTCTCTGTTGGCAAGAATTGATGTCTGGACTGGTGGACATGTGGACTAGCGAGCTCGCCAAGCTACGCGAAAAGGGTCAAGCTCGGACCATTTCTCCGTTCAAAGGTTCTAACCCTGTCGAGGTTGAGTCTAGCCAGCCTGTGGTTCGACCAGGAGAAGTGAGCTCAGCCGCTGGGTTGGTTCGGGCTTCAGAGCGAGTCGTGCCATTTAACTCAGCTGCTCCGGGCTTCTCCGAGGCGTCTATTTCCATGCTCGTTATGTGCTTTAACGTTTAACCTTAGACGAAGTATCTTCTAGCTTCATACGATACGATCATATCACCTTTTTCTTTTTCTCCTTTTTTGTAATTTCTTGAGACCCTTCGTGTAAATATTGCAGCTGAACATAACCAATAATCTTCTATCCCAATATCTTTGGTATCTCTATACAAAAAAAAAAAAACTATATTATATAATTAACGAAAATAAAGAAATTATTTTACGTAATCAAACAATTTATATAAATTAAATAACTTTTAGTTGTTTTAAAAATTTATAATTAATTCAAACCTGCTAGTTGGAAGCACTGAGGAAGTAATTTTTAAAAATAATAATTTATACGGCCAATCTAGAAATTAGTAAAGATATAACGGTAACATTGAGCAGACGCAAAAAGGCAAAAATTTTCCGACCTGCCGGATTCGAACCAGCGACCTAAGGATTATCTGTCTTACAACTACAGTCCTCCGCTCTACCAACTGAGCTAAGGTCGGTTTCGGTTCGATGAGAAAAAGATTTTATTTTAAAAAGTAAAATTTGTCATTTGGAGCTTTCTAGGAATGAAAAACATGAGGCGGCTCAAAAGGAGTTTCTTTTTCGTTCGCCGTGCCAAAAAAGACCCTTCTTTTATTGCTTTTTTCTCTTTTGATGAATAAAAGAAAATATCTACGGTTTGGTCCATTGTGATTGAGATGGTATATAAGTTTGATCCAGTGTGAATATTCATGAAAAATAAAAATCAAGCTGAAAAAACAATTGACAGCCAGTAGGGTGGAATATCCTACAATATATGCCGATGGAACCTCTTGTTTTTATTTCAGACTTATCTGCGGGCGGCCACACACCGATTTTGAGCGACCCATTTGCCCAAAACCCAAACCCACGTCCTTAAAAACTGCCTAATCTCAATCTTCTATCTTCTATATAAAACCCATTTGCCCCCTTTTTCTTTCGTATCTGTCGTTGAAGGAATTGCCTTCGAAAAAGTTTGAAGCTTTTCTGGTTTTTCATCGTGGGTATTTTGTTACAGAGTGGAAAAAGATGTCTGCAGTGGTGGAGATCTGGATGAGTAAGCTTGCAAAGTTCAGAGAGAAGGTGCAGGCGAAGAAGCCATTAATGGTGTCAAAGCCTAAACCAGTCGCCAAGACAGCAGAAGCTGCTGAGACGAAAGAAGTGAGTAGATCATCATCAGAGGTTCATGCAGAATCTACCATGTCAGAAACTACTGTGTTTTTGCTTATGGATCGTTTTGTACCTTGGTGATAAATTAGTACTCAACCTGCCATAATCTGTAAAAATATGTTAAAAAAAAAAAAAAAGGAAACCTCCTTTCTTCTGTATAATTCTCGAAGTACAAAGCTTTTGAGAGCTGTGTTTTCTTTTTTTTTCAGGCCAATGGCATGATTGCTGTGAATATTTTTTTTCTTCTTTGAATTATCTTTTTCCGTGTGCTTGATTTGCAAATTTCAACTTTTTGATTGAGTTTAGTCCGTTAATAATTTTGAGTTTCCAAATAATGAATTCATTTGTTCCCAACACAGCCTGAGTTTCTGTGTTCTTGATTTGCAAATTTCAACTTTTTAACTACTGGGTCTGTTGTTCTATTTATGGTATATAACTTGAATCCAAGTGGGTAAGTTTGGTTTGGCTGTTCATCAATATTCAAGGCAGGCGCTATATAGAACTTGAAGATGACAAACCAAATTTGCAATATGAAGCACTTTGCTTACGGTCATCTACAGTTTGGGTGTATGTATAACGTTTCACATCTACACTCAAATGGAAGATTATACTACAGATGATTTCATTGCTAATGCATATGAATTTTATCGGTAATTGCTTGTTGAATGGTGGGGAGGGTGTGGGTTCTACTCTGTAAATGTATTATTTTATTAATTCAATTTATGAATTTCTTCTCGAAAATATAAAACTAGTTAGTGTTCTCTGTCCTTCCTTTTCTTTTAAGGGGGAAAAAAACTTTCATGTTTCAGGACTCTCATGTTCTCAAATTCCTCCATGGTTACTTTTGAATTTAAAGGGGAAAAAAAGAGAAAAAAAAAAAACAACTTGCTTAGAATTCTAATCAAGTAGAAGAAATGAAGTGATTGGGGGGAAAGAAAATTACAAAAGCCATCTCAATTCTTCTAAGAAACCGACAATTACTACAAGAGCAATGCAATTGGAAGCCACCTTTTTCCACATGATCCAAAAAGCATAAAAATCTCAAGCCATCTGCAAGATGCAGATGAACCTCTTATTAAATTCTTTAAAAAGAATCTGTGAGTTTCCCACGTTATGTCCATTCTACAAATATCTAAGAAAAAATCTGAAACTTGTAGTCTTCATTCTCTTGTCCTATATAAGACTTGTGTCCCTATGCTTATCACAACTTGTTTTTTAGCAGAAACAAACAGGTCTTGAATATTCAAGAGGTTGTACTTTCCTCCATGGTGGTCGAAAGCTCGTTAAATGATGGTTCCTCTACATTCCACTCCAAGATCTCCCTTGCATATTTCAGAGCATCTTCCACACGGTCCTGCTCCAATGCTGTTACTTGTGAAACAAACAAGTTATGTTTGTGCTTGCGGTTGATTGTAACATGAGAAGCAGTAAGAGATTGGAATAATCTCTTGAACTTCACCGCGATATAGTGAAAAGCACGCTGAGCCATGGATGCGTTTCTGTGATAGCTGATCACTGGATTAAAGTCATGAAACCATTCGCATTTGGTCAGAGGAGTATGCTCCATCTTTTCTTCGAATAAGTCAAACTTGTTTAGTATCAGAAGAAATTTTTTCCCTGTCAAAGTTGGATGAGTAACTATCGTTTCGAAAAGTTGTCTGCTGGCCAACATTTTGTTTATGAGAACTCCATTGCTGTCTTCTGTGAACTCATCATAGTCTGTCAATGAAATGCAGAATACCACAATATCAACGTCTTCAAACATTGCTAGCCACTTGCAGTTTTCCCCAAGGCTTTTTGGATGTACCCTAATGAGTTGGTACCTGCATGAGAAAGGGGATAAATGGTAAAGTTATAACAACAGCCAGCATGTGGTTTTTACATGACTGAATTTATTGTCTATTATAATTTGATTTATCAAAATAGATGCTAAAATTTATTTTTACCGTGTCAAGAGAGTATTAATGGAAAAATTAGTGTGTTAGTGAAGAAGTTAGTGTATCAGTGGAGAACTTCGTATGTTAGTCCAGAAATTGGTGTGTTAGTGGAGAAGTTAATATGTTAATGGAGAATTTAGTATGTTAGTGGAGAAGTTAGTGACAAAAATTGTATGTTTATGTAAGACAGCCCATCCGCATGTACTGAATTTATTTCTTCCTACCTTTATTTTTTGTTTTGTGATATATATTTTCTTCTTTCCAAGTGTTTCTTAAATAAATTGTAAGAGAGGGAAGAAACTTAGTGACTCCCCCAAGGGATAAGGAAGCATACCCAACCTCATTATGTACGTATCTAAATCACAAATCTGTATGATAGTGTTCATTTTAGGTTTTTTATTGTAGTTACCATGCATATACATATATATTATATGCACACACATTTACCATTAGAACTGAGAGGATTACCACTTTGTAAGATTTGAAAAGGTGTTGGAGTTAAGGTTTGAGATAGAATAACACATTCTTACCTCTAAGATTCTTCATTATCCACAACATTAGCAATGAAAGAGTTGAGTGAATGAAGAGAAGCTAACCTCAGTGAAGAATCATGAACATTAACAGGGTCTATGGAGCTCTCTTCTGCTGAATTTGGAAATGAGAATTCTGTGCAAGAAAGGCCATTGGACGAGGCAATTCCCTCAGCATACAATGTGTCCATATCAGAAGGCTCATAGTCTATTCTTGAAATCTCAACAGCCTGAGGAGGAAAATGGGTAAAGAAATTGAGGAGTGGGATTCAATCAACTAATAGATATAAAAATAAGACCATTATAAATTTAGTAATTTAGAACATATAATCTCACGTGTTCTAGAAAATATGTAGCAATTATTGGTAGCATTTTGAGTTCCCTCCTCCTACTGTATGTGGCTTGGATGGCTTTATCCTTCCATAATTCTTCAATAAATGGTGCATATTCACGACCAGCAGCTGGGAATATGGCTTCTAAATTTCCGGATGCCATAACTTTTAGAAGCCAATCTGAGAAAGCTTTCAGTCGTGGACCAATTGAATAAGTTGTCATATTCTCAATCAGGTTTGTATCACCTGCTGCCACAGTTTTTTCAGACTCTACTCCAATGCATAGCAATTTTCTACTTGTGAGAAATCACAGTAAATTATAAAATGCTAAATCTCCAAGACCTTAGACTACAGGCTGAAGAATTCAAGTATCTCAAGGTAAATTTTGTTGCTTCCCAGGAAGAACTTCCAAAACTTTAGTTAGTGACAGTCGAAATTTTCTGAAAGCATCAATTTTACCAAAAGCGTAGAAACAAGAGAATATCAACCTGGTAAACTCTGTAAGCATCTGATCAGTCATCCTGCCTTCTGACAAGCTTATTCAGAATTGACTAAATTCATAAGTTGTCATAAGGCTTATAATTATATAAATCTTATTTACAGAACCTAAATTTCAAATATTTTAGCTATATGATCTCAGGGCATCCTCTGTACATCTTGGCAAAATCAACCTGAAATGGTCAATAAAAATGAAAAATGAAGAATCCTCTCTTTGTTACCTGAATGACCCGTGTGATCAACAGACTGTCTTTTCCTCATCTCAATCAAACTTTCTTCTTCAAATCTCTCGCGCCCCTCAAGCAATATGCCAAAATAGTAATACAAATTTGTTTGGATGGTCAACTTAATACTTTGGCGCTCATCTTCAGTGAAAGGAACTTTGTACAGGAGCTTGGCCTGAAATAAGCAAGCAGCTAAATTAGTGTCACCAATGTCAAGACAAAAATTCAATTAATGAGATAAGAATACCAGGATGCATGTGGTTCCAAAAATGTGCCTCTATCGCAAAGATTAACCTAACTGTTATTTATGACTAAAGTAATCCAGAAAGAATGTGATTAGATAGAAAATAACAGACAAGTGTAACCTAACTGTTAGATTCTTAACTGTTAAAATAAATGTGCAAGGCTTCACACCCTTTAAACTTTTCGCATGATGCAATCTCTGTCATCCTTGCTATTTTGTCCCAACAAGATGCAAGTTCTGTAGCCAAAGATTATATGCCATTAGGTACTTGCCATAGTATTAGATGTCTCACCTGCTTATATAGGGAACTTGTGCCAGATTTTTTATAGCCCACCAGAAGCAGTTTCTGAAGTGTTTTCTGACCAAGGTCATTTGATGTCACACCAATTACTTCTTCTCCGGAAGGATCCACAGAATGAGGAGGGGTTGGCAAAGACAAAATAGAACATACTACCTTTGCTCTGGCCTATAAAAAGAAAATCTTTATTTATTACCTATATATGATATAATGTGATTCTTAAGATGCAATGCATGTCTAAATGTGAACTTACATTGTCCCATATACGCCCTTTGATTTGTTTCTGCCCCTCTTCCTGGTAAGATCCATCTGCACTAACCCAAAAATGAGGCTTCCCTTCACATTGCACTCCTGACAACTGCAAATTTCACCAGAGGCAACAGAGTTGGATTTTCCCAAAGATTACATTTCGAATGAACATAATGGTGTTAAGCTGAAACAAACCTGCAGCATCAAATGCTCTACTTTAGTTATCTCTCTATTATTTATCATTATATTTGTGTTGCCATTGCTAGCATTTTTCCTGATGTTACCCCCAATACTGAGTTGGGGGCTAATAATCTGGGAAGGTTTCTGTCCATCCTGTTCAATTAAGCCAGTGTGAGATATAACAATATGAGCATCAGCATTAGAAGTTGAGAAAAGAAATTGATGAATATAAAAAGCAAAAGCTTAGTAGTGTTTGATTTTCTTACCTTACCCCAATAACCAGCTACTTTATCATACCAATAGCTTCCAGGTCTAAGCTTCTTTGGTGGGTTTGAGCAGGTCTGCAAGAGAACCAAATCTTCCTGACTAAGAGGCTCATCATTTACATAAATATGCCTTGATGTTAACTGATTTGCTTTGCATGATATCTCACTACTCATTATCTGTTTAACTTCAAACTCACTAAGCAGCCGCCTAAGCATTCTGGAAGGCTTCCCAAGACTCTCTCTCCTTGATTCACTAATCCTCTTGCCAATACAAGTAACACATTTTCTTCCCTCTGGCATTGATCCCATTGCTCTACGTACACATTTGTAACAATACTTTGCATCACAAACAATGCATACCACCTTTTCTGTTAACCGGTTTCCGTTCAAGCATTTATAGCATGAACCTTTTTTCCCTTCCCTCACAGCCTTTGGCTCTTCCTGTAAGCTTTCAACCTCAGAATACACAGACTCTTCATAAGTATCTTCTGTCTCAGGTTCACAGAAAGTAACCACTGATGGCCTTTTGACATGATGGGGAGTCTCATTATTGCCATCTTCCTCTTCCCGGCAAGAGAAAACCTCAGAGGAAAGTGAACCAGAGGTCAAGCCGGATTCTACTGATTCAGAATCAGCAGGGTTCATGTAATCCCGAAATTCTCCAGCTTCTCTACAATCATTTCGTATTTCCACTATCTCAGAACTCCTTGAGAGTTCACAAAAATTTTCATGACCATCATTTGATCTTAACTCGCAGGAACTTCCAGTTCCTTCGTCCGGGTTCTGATTCCCTCCATCACCATTTACACGACCTAATGCACCTGAACTATCTACCCTAGTAGACGAAGATGGTGATGCTTGATGAACAATATCTTTTGAGGCTTTTTCGCACAAAGGTGGAGTCTTAATAATTGGTTGGATGATTGGCAATGACATATCATTGAAAGAGAAGGAAGATGGAACCGATGAGGCAATTGGGATTTCACCAACCTCCACCGGAACTGCTCGAGGGATATCATAACCCACCGGAGGACCATGATACTCCAGAGCAATGGAGTACTCAAAGTTATTATTATAACTATCATCAACATCACCATCATCGTCATCTTTAGGACGCGGTGGCGCAACAGGAAGAATTTTTCTTAAAATCGCTGCCATCTTCTTACTCCCCAACTCAAGATTCACCACCAACAAGCCACCATTCTCAATCTCACACACCCATTTACCTATAAGCCACCAAGACCAAAGTTCAAACACCCATGGAGGAGAATCACCGGTACTCAAAAACCCAGACAGAAAAACCCACTATCTCCACACACCCACGAAGCAAAAGAAACGGCCAAAAAACTAAGCTGAGTATTCCTTTTGCTCAGCTCATTCATCTTCCTCCTCCTTTATTTTGTTTGGAATGCGTCAAAAGTAAACAAATATGGAAAAGAAAAGGTGATAATGGTCCAATACCGTACTCGTATTGTTCTTGAAGGTTTTCTTGGAAGGCAGTGAACTGAGAATTTTCCAGGAAAGTGATGAAAGAAAATGAAAGTCGCGTGGTGTCTGTGGGGATGCAATAATTATAATAATAAATAAGAAAAGGACCCGTTTTCTCTTCCTAGAAAACATAGAAGACTGGGGAGAAGACGCACTCCACATTTCATCCAAATTTTCTTCCATTACGTTCCAAGTCAACGCGTTTGATCAGTCACTAACTCACAGGAAAATACGAGGGTAGATGGAGGTTGCATTTACGTGCAAAAAGGAGAGCAAGTCCAGGGAGAGAAAATAAATGAATAAAACGCATGCCGTATTGCCGTTTTGGACTTTCAGGAAGTGAAAAATGCTCGCCGTTGAAAAGAAAAATGAAACGCCGTCGTCTTTGAATGAAAATGAAAATCACGCTCTATCATAGAGTTGATTATTTCAGAACTGAATAAAAAGAAAATCAAAAATCAAAAAATAAAATTGAATTATAAAAATTAATATTAAATTAAAAATGATGTCATAAAGCTGAAATAAAACAATTTTTATTCATTTCAGTTTTCTAAAACCAAGAAAATATATATATATATTATTTGACCAAAGATATACAAAATGACTAAAACGTGTTGAAAATTTTGATCATACTTTAAAATATTTAAATATATAATTACTATATATTATTACATTAAATAAATATTATATTTTAATATTTAAAAATTATTTTTTACATAATAAAAATAAATAAATAATATTATTATACCAAATCTATTTTTTTTAAAAAAAAAAAAAGGAATTCGTACATGTCAATTTTTTGGTACTCTTTATATAATATTATATGATATATATATATATATATATATATACTTTTTGGGTTTGGTTTTCTGAGTCTAAGTCTGGCTAGGTCCAACCTTTCGCATAAGGCCCATAAGCAATACCAAAAACTAAAACTAGACAAAATCACTTGGTTCAGGGCCTGTATCTATATATATATATATATATATATGTATGTATGTATGTATGTATGTATGTACGTCTAATTTAAATATTAAGTAAATATAAATTATTTTTGGTAAATTTTACACCGAAAGTAGCTAAGATTATGATTGACTTCGAGAACCAAAATTCATGACTTTTTTTAGTAAATAAATATAATATGATTATAACCAACATCATATATTATTATTATGGTAATTAATATGTAATTATTTTACCATATATACATATATATATATATATCTATATATGCTAATATTTATTTACTAAAAAGTGGGTCGAATGTCTTTTATCATTGCCGAAAGTAACTTCAATCAAACTTCAATTTATATAATTACATTCAAAATTTATAATGGATTTTTAGTACCATGACTTATTTTTATTACATGTAACATCACAAAATTATGTTTATATATGCGAATATTATATATAAAATATCAATAATTCATATACGTGATAAAAATATATAAATTAAATTATGTCACCTATATTGAAAATGATTTGAAGGGTGTAAAGTCTCGATGATAACGTAATTATATTATAATTTATTAGTTTAATTTAATTTTTCAATATGAATCAAATAAATATTACAAACGATTGCGTTAAATTAAATAAAACGTAATAATTTTTATTATCTTTGAATTTTAGTATTTACAAATTACAATTACGACTAAGGAAACATCCAATTTCAACCTAAGGAGCCCTTTAAATAAGAAAGAAAGAAAGGAAAATTACACCCAATTTGTCGAACATTGTATTATGCAATTCACATGGAGTAAAAATGTATGTATATATATATATATACATATATATATATATATATACCCGTAGAGATCAACGGCTAGGAGTCTCTCCAAGTTCCGTTACACCATTTCACCCAACACAATTCCCTTTTTGAAATTTAAATTCAAAATTTTGCAGAGCTTTATAAATTAAAATTAATGATAAAACTTTATGGTCCATTCTGAAAATTCTATCTACCGACGTGGCGTGATCTGATTCGTGCAGACCATGATTATTAGTCTGTGCCGCCCATACCAAATAACTTGAACCGCAAGCCAGGAATCAGGTGGTCCATGCACGGCATTTTCTTCGCTTAAACCGTTTTCAAGGGATCCGCGCGTGGAATCACCTCCGTCCAACTCGCGTTTCCCCATTTACTATCTGGCGCGATGTATTTCACGTTCAACTGCTTTCGCGGTTCCTCGTGCTTTGCCGTGATGCACTAACGGTTAACCTCCCAGCAGCGGCGGCCGGCGCGTCGTTCTCCCGCAAAGTCGGAGCATGTTCCGACACGCGCCAAACTTTCACTGACTTGTCGAGGCTGCCGCTGTAAACAATCCACCGTTGGTCGCCTTTATGGTCGGCATCACGATCTTCCTCGACGGTCAAACATTTGACGGGTCCCGTGTGGCCGGTCAAAACGGAGAGACAGGTGTGAGCGCCGCCTTCGTGCCGCCTCCAGACGCAGATGCTCTTGTCGGCTGACCCACTGAATACGAGGTTCCCGGCGGCCGCCAAACAGAGCACCGCCAGCTTGTGGCCGCGGAGGACGCCGCCGTGGGAGAGCTGCTTTTCTCGTTCCCAGAAGTTGACTAGCCCATCGGAAGAGCCGCAGTAGACGACGGCGCAAGACTGATTAACGGCCAATGCGGTGACGGCGTTTTCTTGCTTCAACAAGATTTGAAACAAGAAATGTTTCGGCCTTTTTCCTTGGAGCTCCCGCCTCCAAGCTTTCACAGTCCCGTCCGCCGACCCGGTGAAAACCAAGCTATCAAACCCAGCCACCACCGAGTTAAGCGCGTCCTCGTGAGCGTCTACGGATTCAAGGCATTTCAAGTCTGATAATCTCCAGACTTTCAAGGTCTTATCCCAAGAACCGGAGTACAACAAGCCGTGTTCTTCACTCAAACTCAAACAAGAAACCGCATCGTAGTGCTTGATCCTCAGAACATTCCGTTTCCGGCGGACCTCCACGTAGTTTTTCGGATTGACGGAGCTTCTCACGAAATCTTTCAACGTGGGCAAGCTCCCTACCCGTTTATGGTGACCATTCTTGGCAGCAACCTTCCATACCCGAATCTTCCCGTCTTGGTGACCTGTGAAAATTCTATCACCGGATATCACAATCGCTTTAACCAATCCGCTGCTGGATTTAAAACCCGAATGCTCCTTCATATTTTTCCAAACTCTTATATTCTTGCTATCGGAACCGGTGTACAACAAATCACCAGATGCCGCCAGCGAATATATATGCCCTTCCTCCCGAACAATCGACCCAATAAGCCCATTATGGTTAAAGTAATCATCTTCGTTAAGCAGCGGTGTTGGCGTAATCCACGGCGACTTGGTGTATGGAGAGGATGGGTTCCACGGCGACAATGTGTAGGGAGACACGTCGCCGCTAGACGGCGCGCCACCGCCGTTCGCGACGTTGTTATAATCTCTAGGACTCGTCGCAGAAGAAGAAGTGCTTTTCCGGGGATTGTTACTATAATTACTGTCTTCATCGTTATTGGTCTTCCTAAAAATCGCGGCCGGAGAATCAGAATGTTGTAACAAAGCACCGAACTTCTGCCGCTGATGGTTGTGGGGATGGAGATTGTTGTGCTCCACAACCATCGTGCCACCCGTCTCGTTTCTCATTCAAAATATAACAACTCAAAACTCAACCCAGAAAAGGATTAAGACTAGCTGTCTGCAGGTTTTGAAAACAAAAGATCGATGAAAAAGGATAAAAGAAACCTAATTTACAGTAGTAGCGAAAGAAACAGAGAGAGAGAGATAAAATGTTTTGGAGGTGACGAGAGTTTCGTGGGAGAAAATCTGAAAATGGAGGGTAGCGAGAAAGTTTTGGTTGTTTGGAAGGACTGAACGAGGGAGAGAGGAGTTTATATATACATATAAATGGAGAATCAGGCAGGTCGGTATATATCATATATGCTGCGGTTGGTGAACAGAGGACGTGGGCATTTGACACGTGGAAGAGGAAATAAGACGTAATCTTATAGAACCGGAAAACCGGGTCTTCCGGTAACTTAATAATTAACAAAAAAAAGTTGGGTACCTACAAAAATACAAATGAAGTAGGGAAAGATAAGAGGGTCCGTGGAATTTTCACGGCGTTTAAGCTTCGCACTAAACGGGGAAATCGTGTACTTTTGGGCGTTCTTGAAGGAGAAAGGTATTTTTGCATGTGAAATTTTTTTTTTTTTTTCATATTGGATGTTTGAACCTTCCACTGACGGCAAAATATTTGACCGTTTAAATGGTCAACGGATAAGTGTACGGGTATTATTTGGTAACAACGCAACTATGCAAAACGACGTCGGTTGCTATATTTAATCTTGTTTTGACTATTTAATTTTTCATGTTTGTTAGTAATATTTCATAAGTAAAATCATGAATTTACCAAGTTATAGGACCCAAAAATGCAACTAAAAACAGTAAAATTTTTGTTATAACTAAAATTTTAAATACATCAAACCGGACCGTAATTTTAATTAAAAAAACAAAATTTACGTGGCGAAATAAATTTTTATTGTATTTCTATGTTTAATTTGCATAAAAAACATTTAATATAATATATTAAGATTACATATATGATGTTTAGTCAATTTATATAAACATGTATATTCTTTATTTTTTATTTAATATTTATCTTATTTACAACTCAATATTAATATTTACATAAAATCATATTATATGTTTATATTTACCAATGTTTGATTAATTTTATATTATTTGAATTTATCTTTTCTAAATATAGTATTTCTAGTAGTCTATATTATATGTTGAATAATTTTTCATAATACCCACATGATTTGTATGTAAGTGATATTTGTTAAGCCCTTAATTCAACTTTCCAAGTACATATATCTATGTACATATATATTTCATAATATATGATAATAAGGGTAAGTATTTATACTTGTAATAAGCCTATAACACTCATCGAATCATTTAAATTTATAATATGCTTAAATTATGAAACTTCTAATAATCTAATCGATGTATTCCACCATCAAATTGAATTATGAGATGAAGTCATGACCCATTTCAACTTGCCTAGCTATCTAATGACCACGAATTAAGAGAAATCAATAGCTTCAATTTTGATGATGAGTAGCATTGAATGGTTGCCATCATAGTATTATTACAGCCATAATAATTCTAAACATAATGTATGTATATATATATATATATGTATATATGTATATATACACAAATAGGTATAAGCATCATCAAAGGCATATGGTGGGTCATATACACTTAAACTCTTTTGCATGCATGCCCCCTTTAACATAGTGGCAAACAAGAAATAAAGTGAAAGCATTATTTTGATTCCTTAAACCTTATTATTTTTGTGGTTCGATCGTTTCCTTAATGCATGCACTTGGCCTCGTACATTTTAGTACTACCAAATACATACCATGAATATGAATATTCATTGTTATATGAATATAAATTATAATACCATAAAAAATAAATTTTAAATAAAAATATAATCAAACTTAAATTTAATTTTTTTTAAATAAAAAAACGTATCAACAATTGATCAATAAATAATATTTAAATATTAATTATAACACGATACGAAACAAACTTAAATGAAAGTACAATCCGACTTAAATTCATAATATTTTATATAAAAAAAATAAAACGTATCAATATGTGATACGTAAATATAAACTATAAAATGGTATTTAAATAAGGATAAACGAAATTATAATTTAACTCGAACTTATATAATTTTAATTAATTTAACATATTTTTTTTAATTTATAAAATAATTTTAACATGAAAATTGAAAGAATTGATTTGCATACACGGAAGTCACGAGTTGGTGAACCACACGCATGTACTTCCCCGACCGGAGTCTCAGGTTACCTGACGCGCCAGAACTTCTACTTTCGTTTCACACTGTCTTCACGCGCTAAAAAGGTCAATCCAAATAACCT